GTGTTGGACTTTGTGTGCATGCATGCTTGTATGTGTTTTGGCCCTCATTTCCATGGCATTTGGCCACTGATTTGGGCCTATTTGAGAACTGCCCATTTTGGTTTAAGACCATTCCCACATGTCGTTGCATGCTCATCCATCTTGCATGCTTGTTAATTTGCATAACTTGCATGCTTGCACGTTTACATTGCTTGTTCACATGCTCATATTGCATGCTTAGCTTTCATGCCTAGGTTGCATAACATTAAGCATGCATCTCTTGCCTCTTGAATTGATTACGATGGAGGTTGGGGCCCATTGTTTGTTTTGTGCATTTCATTCCATATTGAAATTGCACACTTTGACTCTTTGGGCCATCACGCATTAAAATGCGCGATTGGTGGTCCGAGAATCAAGTACCATGCCCCTTTGCGTCATAAACATGATAAGGGGTGTGGTGGTGCACACATTTGCTTGAAATGCATTGCCATGCCTTGTTTTTGCCCTCTGCTGCTGTCAAAACAGGTTCTGCAGGAAGAATTGGCCGGTCGACTACATACAGTGCCGACCGACCATGTATTGCTGGCCGAGAGCCACACCAGTGGTCGATGACCACATCCCCTTAGCCGGTGATCATTTACCTTGGCCGGTGGCACTCCACAGTGTGTAGAGAGCATACCTTGGGACTTGTGCAGCCTCCAGAGGAGCAGAGCATGGTAAACAGAGGCAGCTTGTGCATGGCAACGGATTTCCGGGCGAAGCCAATCCAAGCTTGCATGCATCCCTCTTCCCGAGGCCATTTTACTGCTTTAAATAGCTTAATTAATTTTTTAATTAGTTAAGGGTTTGTAATATTTAATTAGCTTGTAGGTTAGTAAATTTGTATATTCTTTCGGACCCTTCGAGCAAGGGCAATTGTGTAATAAGTGTTCGTGAGTGTGTGCATGTCTTCCAACCCCATGTCTTTCTTCCCTTTTATTTACTAGCTTTCGATGGTTAGTCTAGGGCATGTTTCAATTAGCATACAGTATGATAGCATGTTTGCATCCATTCATTCGTTTTGCATGCACCAGGCTCGGCGCATCATTCTAACTACATTTGTACTTCAATTCCAAATTGAATACGTGCTAGTTGTCACATGGCATTGTAGATTAGTCGAGCCTATCTTAGTTGCATTTTGCATGTATTGCATTAGCCATCTTAACATGAACTAGGATCATACACATGATTACTAACTGGTTTCTGTTTTGGCTTGGAGTACTAAGTAAGCTTTTATGCTTTAGCATGCCACATGTGTGTGAGTGTTGCCATGACAGTATGCTTACCATGTGGCTAGATGCTTATGTGATATGAACTGCCTGAATGCCTACGGGTGAAGGTTGGATTGCTTGAGTTGGAACAACTCATCAAAATCCGTGTTTTAGCCTACTCGCGAGTAGCAAATTTCAAAACATTTTCCAAACAAACGGATATGCGATACTTTGTTCCAAATTAGGCGATCTAGTCTATACTTGTTTGATGTGCGCATAATATAGTAATTCTAGGCTAATAACCGGAATAGAAACACATAATGCTTTCAAAACAAGATATCACGGTTAGTAGAGGCCGATCTTTGATCGGGCGAGAGGGGGTGCTCATAGCTGACCTTCCCCAATCGTACCTAAGTTCCCGAGCCGAGGTAACTTTGGTGATGACGGACACTTGGCCTTAGGCAAACGAGTCAGGGTTTCCTAAATTCCCCCATAAAAATATTTAGGTGGCGACTCTATACCTGGCAAAGCAGTCCATGTTTGGCACTTCTTTCTAAAAATCTGTTTTCCAAAACGATTTGCCGGATTTGGACTCTTTGCTTCAGATTAAGAACCGCGACAATTCGAGAGTCCGAACTGTAGTGAGCCCAAACGAACAGAACGGGACTCATCCTCCCGGGGCATTCGGGGACGTCTACACAATGTATGTCTTCATTATTTCTTAAAGGTTTGTCTTTGAAGGAATTGATGAAGGATTCTTGAATGGAGCTCTACACCGAGCATTTTCTCACTATCGAGAGAGTAAGTACAACAGAGTTTTCATACCTCGCATTTCCCATCTTGCGTTTATTAAATTTCAAGAAATTCCATAATTTTGCTACACTATCATTTACATCCTTGCCACTAAATTCAAACAGTTTGAGAGGTTTCTTTCTTCTCTAAATCTTACTCAGTAATTACCATCAATTTTTCATCATGTACCTGTCATATCCAATAACTATTATAATAATTTTGTACCTTCATCAAACTATAAATGGCTAATCAGGTTACTCAATCATCAAACTATTCAAAAATTCAGAACACCACTCACACCACTTGTCCTATATATAAAGTATACAAGTTGTTTAGTGTGAATTATTCGTCACACTCTTTGCATTAACTGATTCAATATTTTAAAACTCAACAATCCTTTTTTCATATTTTTTATTCGTAAATTACAAATAGTGTGTATATATATGTATGTATATATGTGCTATTTGTAATCAACTTTTTGGAAGTTAAGTGGAAGATATTGGACTAGCATTGCAATTTAGGGAAGATAAGAAAACTATTGAAGCATTTATTAACATGTTGTATGCATGAGACTTGTTTGGACAAATTAAGGGGGGCTAGCAAAAACATGCCTTTGGACTTTGCAATTAGTTTTAGATAACACACAAAGTGATAAAAATAAATAAATAAATAAATAATAAATAACTAAATACACGAGTTATAAATGTTTCATAACACAATATCGATGCACATGCTCTTTCATGCACGTTTTGAGTTTTGGTTTTGCTAATGCTGTCATTCTTGGTGTGATGTTTCTTAACATACTATATTTCTCTCTTGTTTTTTAGTTTTTCATTTGTTGAATTGTGTTTTGTTGGTATAATAAAACAACTTTCCAACACCTTTGATTATAAAAAAAAAAAATTTAAATGAGTGGGAAGTCGTGTATTTTCGTGGCTCAGGATTATTAAGAGTAAAAGTGAGCAGGGCCAGAGCTCTTGAGTAGGTTGATGATCAGTAGTGTGCATGTTTGGCCTTGTCTTTTTGTAGTGTGTTTTGTGGCTGGTTGAGGTGTAGTGCTGGTAGGAATATATTCTGGCTTGTTTTTTTGTTTCATCTTTTTATGTTCAAAGTCATTTCACATGGAAGTAAGCATGAGTATAGAATCACTGCGGCCACTTTTCTTGTAATTCTCGTTTCACTACTACAAAAATAGTTAAAGATCACACTTTGACCAAAAACAAAAAGAAAAGATATCACTTTATTAGAAGTGTGATAAAAAAAAAATTAGATTGATATTTTAATCACACTTAATTTGATTGAGTGTGATAATATTTATTTTTTATGTCACTTTTCAATTAAGTGTGATTATATATATATATATATATATATTTTTAATCACACCTTCTAATTAAAAGTGTGATTGTATATATACTATTACTTTTTAATCAGAGGATTGGTGAGAGTTTGGGAAATAAGCGGATTGGTGACTTTTGATATTTTATTTTCATTTAATGGTATAAATGGCAGCATATTCCTTCTTGCATAAGTGAACTATGTACATATTATGGAACAGCTAAAATCAACTCAATTTATTGGGTGCTATGATCATAAATCTCCAATTTCTTTGGTTTGTAAGGCTAAGTTACAAAACTGGCTTCTAAACATCACTGTTTTCAGAAATTATATGTTCACCATAATGAATAATTTATTTATTTTTTTTTAATGATTTTTAAGATATCATATGGTGGGTTTCTGTGTTTTTTGAAGATAGCATCATTATTAGAAAAGTGGCTCTTTGTGACTAATTTTTTTGCAACTGATTATTTGACCGTCGCAAAAAATAATATTTGCAATAGCAACCTGGATAATTTATTCTTTTATTTATTTTGCCCTTTTCTTCCTTTGCCCTAACATAGATTGATTTCGCCCTAGACTCTCATTTCCCCCAAATCTGATTTCGCTCGATCATATCTGAGTAAGAGAATATAATTTCCCTCTCTCGATTTCGCTTTATAGATCACCATGGTCGTCTGAAGAAAAGACCTCCAATAGTATGAACTCTCTCTCTCTCTCTCTCTCTCTCTCTTAGTGAGTCTTCGAATCATTCATTCATATTTCAACTTCTTTGTCTTTCTACTTCGATCACTTGTTTCTTATCATCTGAACTAACTGTAGTCACAACCATAGATCACCTTTCGATGAAGCGTTGGTTTGAATCAATCCTTCCTCATTTGCTACAGGTACAAGCTAAACCATTCAATTCTTAATTGTGTATTTTCTATGCTGCGAAAATGACGAACTTGCTCTGAACTTGCTTGATTTTAGTTTTGAATTCGAATTATTATTATTATTTTTTTGTCATGTTAGATTGGAGCATGTGTGTGGATTTTAGCTTATAGTCGTATTTTGGTAAATTTCAGATGTGCTTTGTAGAAGACTATAGAATTTGATTTAAGCATTGGTTTTTCTGTGCTGCAAAAATGATGAATGTGTATTTTCTATATCCAAATTTCTATCATCTCTTATGTAATTTTCTTAACAATAGATTCGGACCTTATAGCGTTCGATAAATTACAAAATTGAATAGATTATATAGCTGTTATATAGCTGTTCAATCTAATCCTTTATTGTTTATATAGCTGTTATGTTTAGTGAGTTAATCTTTTTTTTCTTTTTTCTATTCGATGAGATGCTCATGATCGAACAGATTAGTGTTTTTGATCTTTTCATTTGCATTGTTCTATGGCACTTGAAGGCCATTGTTCATCTATGAATGTTTTTCTTAGAAACCTGCAACAAGAATGGTTCGTGACAACATTTGATTTTCTATATTGGAGGCCATTGTTCATATCTTTAATTGTGCCACCAAATTCTCAGTACATATCTTTCAATACTCTATATATCACTGCACTTCGACCAATACTAATTCGTCTCCAACTATTTAAAACATGATAATTTTTTTTAATCATCTTTTAGTCTTCAGATCTTCAATTGTCATTTAGTTATGTTCATTATGCTTAATTGGGCATTACTATTGTTGTTATAATATATATTTGTGATTACAAATTAGGAGAAGCAAAAAAGGCAATGTATCACTATAAGCAAGCTAGTGCTGAATCAGACCCTGATGTCTTGACTAAAGCTAAAAATCTTCAGGTTCATCTGAGTAAGTGTACTGAGGCCAAGATACAACGAGATTGAAACACACTATTGAAAGAAACCAGGCTCGCCATATCAGCTGGTGCTGATTCTGCCCCACAAGTTAGCTATATACTTCAATTTCAACCTTTAAATGTTATGTTCTGTTTTCAAGGTTTGGTGCCACAGCTATAGGCTTGAAATTGACATGAGTGTTTTGTTTTGGTTATTGGTAAGATTTTTGCATTGCAAGCTGAGGCCCTGCTGAAGCTGCATAGGCTTTAAGAAGCAGATGAAGCATTGACAAAGGGACCAAATTTTGACATGGATGATTGCACTCAATTCTTTGGGCCTATTGGTCATGCAAGTCTGTTAGTGTGTTAAAGACGCTAATTGTGTTTTTTTTAAGAATAATTCAAAAGGTAAAAACTTACGGATAAAGAAAAGAGAGAAAAAGTTTCAAGCGATCAAAAATAAAATGTCTACGTGGATAAGATTAATTTGGAGTATGACTCTCACTCAGAATTTTTTATATTCATAGATACAATACGTATTAGGTTTAATCCTTTTAATACCATAATTAATAGAAATGAAAATCATATATATTAGCCAGTTTGCGACACGTATATCGGTTTATAACTGATTCATGATTTGGTTCACAGTTGATACAATTGGTTCATGATTGATTATAGTTGATTTAGCTACTATAAAACTTTTTTTGCTACTGGTGATTTAAAAATAAGTAAAATAAAATTCACAATTGTATCATCTGATTCCGGATACATATTGCTCAACATTTCTAATACCACAACCAATAATTTGTCTCTTGCTACCATTATTCACAAACCTTGATTCTTCATCACACAGTTAATTTTCTAACCACTTCACTATGCAACTTTCTACGCATATAATTTTGTCTAGTGTAAACATGAAAACAGTTGACATTTTCAAGTATATTTAACATAAAAAGCTTATACTATTAATTTAAACTTGTTTTTAACTTTGAATTGTTAAGCCAAGATATGGTTTTTTTAATATATATATGGGCAATGGCATATGTTGACAGATTTGATGATGCGGTGGCAGCGGCTCAAAGAGCAGCACGGCTGGACTCAAGCAGCAAGGAAGTGAACATGGTGGTTAGGAGGACACGGGCGGTGGCAATGGCTCGATCCAACGGTAACGATTTGTTCAGGGGATAAAGATACTCAGAGGCTTGTGTTGCATATGGAGAGGGACCCGACCATGACCGCTACAACTCAGTGTTGTTGTGCAATAGAGCCACTTGCAGGTCCAAACTTGGTCAATTTGAGAGAGCAATCAAGGACTGGACTGCTGCCCTTAATGTGCGCCCATCTTACAGGAAAGCCAGATTAAGAAGAGTCAATTGCTATGCCAAGGTAACTAACTAACTACTAGTAGCCTATCCTATATGTCTATTTGTTGCAACATTTTTTGAGTTTTTTTTTTATATTTATGAGCAGAATTTAAAAGGAATTGAATGCTCTTCGCACTACTAGAAATATGATGGTCTAAGTGCTTCATGTTTTACATGTTAATGCATCCTTTTTCTATGCTTGAAAATAGGTTATGGCAAGCAACACAAAGATCTACATTGTGCTCGAGTATGTTGGCGAGGGCGAGCTTTTTGACAAAATAGTAAGGCATTGTTTTTTGAGCTTCTACTCTCTGAGTACCTATAATTTCATTCATAATATAATCAATTGTGTAATGCATCACATCTTAATTTAGGCATTTGCTCATGTCATGTTTACCATTTTGTTATGGTAATGTGTGTTCTATTGAGGCTCATTTATGTAAATCATGTGGGTACCGAGTCTTGTATTTGTCTGATAATATTCCCTTATTGACCCTTTTATAACTAGGCCAAACTAGGAAGACTTAAAGAGGATGAAGCTAGGAGATATTTTCAGCAGCTCATCAATGCTGTAGACTATTGCCACAATAGAGGCATGTACCATAGAGACTAAAAGGTTTAACAAACTTTCTTACATGTTTCATTGATTAATTAATGTATTTATTCTAATTTTTCCTATAAAAAAGAATTTATTATCTAACAGTAATTTGGTTTCTTTGGCTATCTATTTGACCATGACTCTGAAATTTGCATTACCCTGCATCTTTTGCGGCCCGAGAATCTGCTTCTAGACTCATTTGGTGTTCTTAAGGTTTCAGACTTTGGATTGAGTGCATTTTCCCAGCAAGTGCGGGTAAGTATTATGTGAGTTTGCAACAATTTCCTCATCTAAAAGCAGATTTTTAGCAGGTCGGTGTTAATAAATTGAACGTTAAATTTTTAAAAGTGGTTGCAGCACTGAGTCAATTTTGCAGTCTATTTGGTTTACTAAAATCACCTAGTCCAGAAACTACCTTTCCAGCCAGGAGCAGTGTCCTGCTCTAAAAGGAATTCCTTAGGAATAATGTGGCCATTAGTTTTTCTTCTATCCTTCAGTGGCTTGTTCATTTCTTGTTTCTATTAATTTGGAAATGAACTTTTTTTTATGATTTGTGTCTTTCATTTCCCTCTTTTTATATTAGTTTCCCCAAATCAAGGAGGCAGTTTAGTTTTATTAGTTGACTTCTTCATAAGATTCTGTATCATGCATCATCTAGATTTCGACACTTTGAAAACATTCAGTGACCATTTTTTAAGACTTGATCTAATCCACATTGAGGTTATATGATCTCAATGTCATTCAGACACATAAGTTATGGATTGCCTTAAACCTAACCCTCATTCATCAATATGAGTTAGTGTTGTGGCTTTGCTTAATCAAAGACTGAATACCTTTTTATTGTAGGAAGACGTGCTGCTTCACACTGCCTGTGGAACCCCAAATTATGTTGCTCCTGAGGTATCAATTATGATGACATGGAAATGGATGGTCGCTTTGATGCAAAAAAACTTTCCTTTTCTTATTAGTTTCTTGCATTTGTGATACTTCTTTCTTTCTTTTTTTTCCCCTTTCTATCAGGTGCTCACTAATAAAGGTTATGATGGTACAACAGCTGATATATGGTCTTGTGGGGTCATTCTGTTTGTTCTTATGGTTTGATACTTACCTTTTGACGAGCCGAACCACATGGCTTTGAAAGCATTCAAGAACTTAGTTTTTTCAAGTTTTTTTAAATTTTTTAATATATGTAATCACAGTTAAATTTTTTTTATTAATTTCTTTGTATATACTTTTGAACATTTAACTTTCATTTATGAAATATATGACGTTATTCCATTCAATATATGGTTGTGATTCAAAATATAGTATATAGTGTGTATTACATTCTTCAAATGCGCGTACAAAAATAATATTGATTATTCTTCAAATATGTCGAATTCTTTTTTTTTTATCACAGGTTTTATTAGTTATTAATCACACTTAAAAGATGTGATCTAAATGTTTTTAATCACAGTTAAAAGATGTGATCTAATGTGATCTAAATGTTTTTAATCACACTTAAAAGGTGTGATCTAAATGTTATTAATCACACTTACAAAGTGTGATGTAAATGTTTTTAATCACACTTAAAAGTTGTGATCTAAATATTTTTAATCACACTTAAAAGGTGTGATCTAAATATTATTAATCACACTTAAAAGATGTGATGAAAGCATTTTTTAATGACACTTAAAAGTGTGATTAAAAATGACCCCTTTTAATCACACTCCCAAAGACCACACTTCAATAAAACTTAAAAAGTGTGATTAAAAAACATACATCACATAAAAAAAGTGTGATCTTTATCTGTATTTGTAGTAGTGATTCTAAAACATTTTTACAAGGAAATTTTATCTTTTCGCCTTGTATCACTATTTGATCATCTATGTGTAAATGTAATATATATATATATATATATATAGAGAGAGAGAGAGAGAGCGAGGGAATGAGGGAAGGAAGGAGGAGATCAATCTTGATTGGGTTAGGGCTGGTTATGGTATTGGGAATTGCTGTGTACATGAGGTTTTGCTAATTTTATATTGAATTTTTGACTTTAACCTCTATTTCATTTCATTTGATCTCTTATTGAAGGGTTTTAATGTTTTGGTCTGCCTATTACTACAAATAATGAAGGAAACAGGGTTTGACCTAATATAAACTATGAAATCCTCACATTTCAATTAGGAATCCTTCAATTTCAGCAATTTTGTGTTGTGTTGTGTTCTTGTTAAATTGAGCCAGGTAATTTAGACTTTATGACTTTTCAGTGAAAATTGACTTTTGTTGTGTATCTTCTTCAATTAAGCACACTACATTGCATCACAAAATGGATTTGTAAAGACATGAGCTGTAAAATACTTCAAAACCTTTTTGAATTTTTTTTTTTCTGTCTCTATTTTTGTGGATTTGAATCCATGTCATATAGATCATAGAAATAAAAGAAGAAAATAATGTGGGAAGTTGTTGAGGCATCTCTCTCTCTCTCTCCCCTATTTGTGTTTGGCTATTAGTTACAAATCACATTCTTTTCTTTGATCTTTTTGTAATTAATTTTCTCATATTACATAAAAAAATATATTTCTTTTGTGTTTCTTAATATACATTCAAGGTTTATTTCATGCATTCTAGTAGTAAGTGATGTTTCTATTTGTTGGCTTCATATAGAAGACAGTTTGATCTTGCTAATAGAGAGGCTATGAAGGAATCTGCAGAGTGGTGATTCAAATATGATGAGGAGGTCAAGAAGGCTACCAAGTGTGCTCAGGACCTAAACAAGGTAATCACATGAAAATAGTAGTTTATATTCATCTCAAGTATATTGATGGAATATTTGAGTATTCCTCTAAAGTTATAATAATACTTAATTGTGTAAATTACGTTGATATTTTTTATATTTCAGTCCTTATGTCATTTTGATATTTATAATTTCAGTCTTTATAATTACATTGATATTTATATTTTCTGAGTTTGTTTGTGTATTTTTGTGATTGATTATCATACGAGTAATTGAATTTGGGGCTACAAAATTATTCAATTGAAGTCGAATGTGATTCCACTCATTTTTCATGGGTTGGAGTCGAATGTGACTCCAATCATTACCACAACCACTTTGTAGTTTCTTTAAACCTCTCTGGTTTTCAAATATTGGGTCGATTATGACCTGAGATAGCTAAATTGACCCAATTGAAGTCCATTGATTTCAGCAACAATGGTTTCACAGGCTCAATCCCTTCTGAATTAGGTAATTGTAGTCACATTGAATACTTGGAACTCTCCCAAAACAGCTTCACTGGTGATATACCAGAGAGCTTTGGGAATTAGCTGAATTTGAGATTCATAAACTTATATTCTAATTTCATGAAAGGTTCAATCCCTGAATCTCTGTTTCGCATCCCACATTTGGATACTGTTTGGCTCGATGTGAATGAACTTAATGGTTCGATCCCATTGAATGTTGCCAACATGAGTGAGGTTTCATCTCTTTGGCTATATGGTAATCAATTATCAGGCACCATTTCTTCCTCCATAGGAAATTGTACCAAATTGGTAGAACTTTACTTGAATGATAATCAATTTGTTGGGGATTTACCGGAGAGTTTGACTAATCTTAAGGAGCTAATGTACCTTGATGTTAGTAATAATAGTCTAGAGGGTACTATTCAATTGGGTTTGGGTAGTTTCAAGCAAATGGACACTTTGGTCTTGTCTTTTAACTATTTCAGTAGTGGTATTCCACCAGGGTTGGGAAATTGTAGTAGCTTAACTCAAGTTGTCGTTTTTAACTCATCATTCACAAGAACATCTATAATTCTGTATGCGTAGCTCCATTTCATATCACTTTATTTATTTATTTTTGGTGGGTAATATTCATCTAAATTAGTGATGAACATGTATTTAAATGGTTCCCAATAAATAAAAGTCACAATGGTTCCCAATAGCTCCATTTCAAGTGGGAGAAATATCAAATGTGGGACGACTGGTGGGTATTCATTGTCATTGTATTTCTTTGTATGACGATATGATATTAATTATGTTGCCTTCTTGTTTCTTTCTATGATAGTGGAATGGAATTGGGCCCTCACAAAATGATGGTGGGAACTGCTAGTAGTGGTAAGGCTTTAAGGTGTGGATTGTGGGATAGATATGTTATCCAGGTTCTTAATGAGGAAAAGATATTGGTGTTGTTTGTATGGTTGTGGGTGTGCATTTTTGGCTTTGATTTTGACTCAAATGGTTGCTATATTTGATTGGTTTACATACTCCCCACAATGAAGATTTTGACATTGAAAAGCCTTTTGCTAGTTAAAAATTTTGAGTAAAGAAAATGATTTCCGCTTGGATTCCAATAGGACAACAATGCATTAAACTTAATCGAAAAAGGGCGTTAAGGGGGGGAAAATGCGAATCAGCCCCCGAACGACCATACGGATGTCACAGCCACCTTCCCCGTCACAAATAGGACCTGTGACAACAGACGGAATGTAATTAGCACACGTAGTTTGGGAGTTAGAGCTGAAAATGCATTAAACTTAGTCGAAAAAGAGCGTTTTGGGGGCGAACATTCATAACAGCCTCCGAACCACCGCATGACTCATACGGACAGTTTTCCCATGACAAATAACACTTGTGAGAACTGACGGAATGTAATTCGGACCTGTAAGTAGGGAGTTAGAGCTGAATACGCCCAAAACTTAGTCGAGAAAGGGCGTTTTGGGGGCGAAAATTCAAAACAGCCCCCGAACCATCGTGTGACTCACACAGCCAGTTTCCACATGACAAATAGGACTTCTGAGAACTGACAGAACGTAATTCGCACCCGTAAGTACGGAGTTAGAGCCAAAAACGCCCTAAACTTAGACGAAAAAGAGCGTTTCGAGGGCGAAAATTCATAACAGCCCTCGATCCACTGTGTGAGTCACACGGATAGGTTCCCCCATGACAAATAGGACTTATGAGAACTGACAGAATGTAGTTCGGACCCGTATGTAGGGAGTTAGAGCCGAATACGCCCTAAACTTAGTCGAAAAAGAGCGTTTCGGGGGTGAAAATTCATAACAGCCCCCGAACCAGTTTATGAGTCACATGGACAGGTTCCCCATGACAAATAGGACTTGTGAGAATTGACGGAACGTAATTCGGACTCGTAGGTTGGGAGTAAGAGCCGAATATCCCTAAACTTAGTCGAAAAAGAGCGTTTCGGGGGAGAAAACTCAAAACAGCCCCCGAACGACCGTGTGTCTCACACGGATAGCTTCACCATGACAAATAGGACTTGTGAGAATTGATGGAACATAATTCGGACCCGTAGGTTGATAGTTAAAGCCGAATATGACCTAAACTTAGTTGAAAAAAGGCGTTTCGAGGGAAAAAATGTAAAACAGCCCCTGAACCACCGTGTGTATCAGACAGATAGCTTTTCCATGACAAATACAACTTGTTAGAATTGACAGAATGTAAGTCGGACCCGTAGGTTAGGAGTTAGAGCCGAATACGTCCAAAACTTAGTCAAAAAAGGGGGTTTCGGGGCAAAAATTCAAAACAGTCCCCGAACGACCGTATTGCTCACACAGATAGCTTCACCATGAAAATAGGACTTGTGAGAATTGACGGAACGTAATTCGGGCCCGTAGGTTGGGAGTTAGAGCCGAATACCCCTTAAACTTAGTCGAAAAAGGGTGTTTCGGGTGAAAAATCAAAACAGCCCCTGAACGATCATGTGTCTCATACGGATAGCTTCACCATGACAAATAGGACTTGTGAGAATTGACAGAACGTAATTCGGACCCGTAGGTTGGAAGTTAGAGCCGAATACACCCTAAACTTAGTCGAAAAAGGGCGTTTTGGAGGCGAAAAATCAAAACAGCCCCTGAACGACCTTGTGGCTCACACAGATAGGTTCTCCATGACAAATAGGACTTGTGAGAACTAACGAAATGTAATTTGGACCCGTAAGTAGAGAGTTGGAGCTGAATACGTCCAAAACTTAGTTGAAAAATGGCGTTTCGGGGGCGAAAATTCTAAACAGCCCCCGAACGACCGTATGGCTCAGACGGATAGCTTTGCCATGATAATGTACAGGTCCCCCATGACAAATAGGACTTGTGAGAATTGACGGAACGTAATTCAGACCCATAGGTTGGGATTTAGAGCCGAATACGTCCAAAACTTAGTCGAAAAAGGGCGTTTCGGGAGGCAAAAATTCAAAACAGTCCCCGAACGACTGTGTGGCTCACGCGGCTAGCTTCACCATGCCAAAGAGGACTTGTGACAACTGACGGAATGTTATTTGGACCCGTAGGTTGTGATTTAGAGACGAATACGCTCAAAACTTAGTCGAAAAAGGGTGTTTCGGGGGCGAAACTTCAAAACAGCCCCCGAACCTCCGTCTGACTCTCACGGGAAGCTTCCCCATTACATATAGGACTTGTGACAACTGACGGAATGTATTGTAGATGTAAAGTAATGAAAAATTATGGAGAAAATATTCCGAAACTAATATGAACTCAGTTTACGCCTTGTTAGAAACTTGCTAATTTTTTGAACGTACACACGTGTTATATTATATTTAAGCTTTCATACAAGTATAAAAGATGCTCATGGTGTTTCTGAGGCCATGTGCGTCATGAGATATCAAGTATTCTTTCTTTGATGAACCATTTATAGGGTGTCTCAACATAAGTTTGTACATATTTCCTTTTATGATTGAAATTTATTTTTGTTATTATTTTTATCACATGTTCTAATATCCTTTTTGAAATGGCACTGACATACATTAATAACCAACAATGGTTTTGTATTGAATCTAATGATTCAAGTGCCTTTTGCAAACAAATAATGAGGAAGTTGGTAAAAAGAATACTTTCTATTCACATTGGGTTTTGATATTGGTTTGGCCACAGAATTTGGATATATGTTTCATACAAATAGAAGATTGTTACATTAGCTTTATGTTACTAATGAAAGATTTTGTAATGATTGTTCTGCATTTAACAATGTCCCTTATAACAAAAGACTTTAGAAAGACTGTAGAATGACTGATAATTGATTCATCATGGAAGGTTGTTTCTCACTTATTTTTATTTGTCACTTGTTGTCAAATTCATTCATGAAGTTGGGCATTTTTTTATCCAATTCTAATGTTTTTTTTTTTTTTTTTTTTTTTTTTTTTTTTTTTTTTTTTTTTTTTTTGTTTTTTGGTGTATGGAGAAGAAATTGTACTTTTGTATAGAAGTAATATAATACTTTTGTAAATGTCATTTCATATGGTATAGTAAATGTAATTTTGTATATGGAGGGCTTTACTTTTTGTATGATTCTATATTTTGTATGGAATTATTATTTTAGTTTGAACAATAGTTGGTTTGTATGTACTTCGACAGTTAAAGTAATTTATTTTTTGTATACGGATGCAGATTGTGGAATGATTAATAGTTTATGTATTATTTTATTTATGTACGTATTATAGGTTGCATGGAATACAGACAGGTTATGGACACATTATAATATTTGCAATAAAACATAATATCATGTTTTTGTCGACTAAATGTTTTGTAGCCAAAAAAAGAAGGAAAAAAAAAAAAACCTTTCGCTACTAAAAGTTTTGTAGCCAAAAAATAATCAAATATTTGGCTACTAAATTTTTTGTAGCCAAAAGAAAAGCAACTATTTGGCTACTAAATATTTTGTAGCCAAAAGAAAATCAAACCTTTGGCGACTAAAATATTTCGTAGCTAAAAACAAAAGCTGAAGAATAAAAAATACTTTTGTCGACTAAAAATTTAGTAGCAAAAAATGTGGGAGTTTAGGTGACTAAATTTTAGTAGCCAAAAATGTGAAAGTTTAGGCGACTAAATTTTTAGTAGGCAAAAGAAACACTATTTGCCGACTAAAATTTTAGTAGCCAAAAAAGATTGACTTTAGGCGACTGAAATTTTAGTAGCCAAAACACTAATATTTGCTTTAGGCGACTAAAAAATTTAGTAGCCAAAAATTTTTCCGTGACTAAATTATTGGCTTTTGGGGACAAAAAAATTGGTCGGCAAAAATATATTATTTAATTAATTTTCCAACCTATTGGCGACTAAATATTTAGTCGGCAAATGAATACATTTGGTGACTAAACTTTAGTCGCCAATTAGTTTTGCCGACTACTCTTTGGCTACTAATTTTCCGACCAAAAAATTTAGTCGCTAAAGACTATAGGCGACTAAAAATTGACTTTTAATTTAGTCGCCAAAAGTGAAAATTCTTGTAGTGTTGGCTCATTTACTAAATGAGCCGAGTCGAGCTGAGCCCTTCATACCGTGGTGGAGTTAGGAAATTAAATCAGGATGGGCACTTATTAATTATAACTTTTTTTTTTTCAAAACCAACAATAAGAAATAATAATAATTTTTAAATTTTAATAATAAGCGTAAAAAATTAAATAAATTGTTACAAAAGTATTTCACATAAAATTTTACAATTAATTTTGAGTAAAATCAAAAAGAAAGTATTGCGTGTAACTAGTGTATCATGGACAATATAAAAAAGTCATATATTTAAGTCGTAAAATAAATTATATAATGGTAAGATAAATCAAATTTTTACAAAATTTGAGTAAAAATTTCATATAATAGTGATATCACGTCATTATTGACTTATGATATCACCAACCAATAGTAAAGCAACACATGAATGGTGAACTCCACATGCAAATATAACTAACACTCTAATAATTTTTACATATATATATATATATATATATAATGAGATTAATTATATTTGTATGTCAATAATAATGGATATTACCTTTATATTGAGATTTTTTCACAAAATTTTTATACATAATAATATAATTTGTTATAGTCACTTCATTTTCAATAAAACAATCACTATTATTTCCATAAATTTAAAAATGTCCTTGATATTTTATTCTAAATATTATTTTTATTTAGGGAGTTTTTTTGATAAATCCTTTTTCTAAGAGCTTTATTCCATCCAACCCATATTCTTTTTGACTATTCTATTAGGTCCTATTTGAGGTAAGAAGACCAAAATACCCTTTTCATCTACTTATGTTCCATTTAGTCCATATTATTTTCTTATGTTTCAATATGTCCTATGGGTGACATAATTACCAAAATACCCCTAATGTGAATGTTCACACCGTCAATATGAATGTTCACACCGTCAACGTGAATATTCCTATTTGAGGTAAGAAAACCAAAATACTCTTTTCATCTAATTATGTTCCATTTAGTTCACA